TCAATGCCAAGAAAATAGGACATTAATCCATTGTCCGTCATCTCAAATTCATTGAACATTGCCGCCTTGAATTCAGCAAGCATCTCGGTACTGCTTCCTGTGTACAATAAATCATCAACATAAAGACAAATTATTAGAAATTCGCCTCTATGGTTCCTCTTCATGTAGATGGCGTGTTCATAGGGACATTTAATGAAGCCGTTTTGATGAAGATAGCCATCAATTCGGGCGTTCCATGCCCGTGGTGCCTGCTTTAAGCCATACAAGGCTTTCTTCAAATGGTACACTTTGTCTTCTTGCCCTTTCACAAGAAAGCCTTCTGGTTGTTGCACGTAGACCTCTTCCTTAAGAACGCCATTGAGAAATGCTGACTTGACATCCAAATGATATATATTCCACATGTGATGAGCTGCAAGTGAAATTAATAGTCTCACCGTATCCAGTCGAGCAACCGGAGCAAAGACTTCTTCATAGTCGATGCCGTACTTTTGTTTGTAACCTTTCGCTACAAGCCTCGCCTTGTACCGATCAACTTCACCATTTGCTGTGCGCTTGATCTTGTACACCCACTTGACCCCTATTGCCTTGTGATTTTGTGGAAGAGTTGTCAACTCCCAAGTGTCATTCTTTTGGATGGCGTGGATCTCCTCCTCCATTGCTGTTCGCCAACAATCTTCTTTTACGGCTTCTTGAAAAGTGAGAGGTTCATGATCAGCATATAAGCAGAAAAGATTTGACTCTTCGTCTTCTTCTATCTGCTCATAGATCTCCCTGAGGCTTCTCATTTTGATGGGACCTCGTTGCATGGTAGATTCGCTTCTACTACCTTCCCCAGAAGATGGAGAACCTCTTGTAGGAGAGGGTGTAGAGTGTGGAGGAGATGGTGGTGTAGCTAGTGATGGTTCCTCATGTAGAGACTCATCAGGTTCATTCTCCACGGGTTGATTTTCATTGCTCCAGTTCCATGCTTCTTCTTCATTAAAGACAACGTCTCTACTAACAACTAGTTTCTTGGTTAGTGGATTGTAGAGCTTGTATGCCTTCGACTCCTCGCTATATCCGATGAAAATGCATTTTTCACCGCGATTGTCAAGCTTCTTCCTTTTGACTTCAGGTACTTGAGCATATGCAACACAACCAAAAATTCGTAGGTGTGCCACACTAGGCGTGTAACCGCTCCATGCCTCTTGAGGTGTCTTGTTCTTCACTATCTTTGTGGGGCATCGGTTGAGCAAATAAGCTGAGCATGCCACGGCTTCTGCCCAGAACTGCTTTGGCAATCCCTTTTCTTTGAGCATGGTTCTTGTCATGTCGAGGATGGTCCGGTTCTTTCTTTCTGCAATGCCATTTTGCTATGGTGTGTAGGCAGTAGTAAACTGTCTCTTTATACCTTGCTCCCTGTAATATTCTTGAAACATATTTGAGGTGTACTCACCACCTCGGTCAGATCGAAGAATTTTTAGCTTGTGGCCGCTCTCTGCTTCAACTAAAGCTTTAAAATGTTTGAATGTAGTAAAAGCAGCAGATTTTTCTTTAAGAGTGTACACCCACAACTTTCTACTGAAGTCATCAATGAAAGTTATAAAATATCTATTACCTCCCAAAGAGACGGGATCAATCGGTCCGCAGATGTCGGTGTGAACAAGTTGCAATGGTACACTTGCTCTCCATGATTTTCCACTGGGAAAAGGAAGTCGCGGTTGCTTGCCGATTACACAACCTTCACAAATATGATTCGGTGGATCAATTGTTGGTAGACCTCGTACCATGCCAGCTGTAGACAATAACTTCAAACCGCTGAAGTTTAGATGGCCGAAGCGAAGATGCCACCTCCATGACTCATTCTCCATGAGTCCTTGAAAACACTTGTCGACTTTCGTGTTTAGATGCAAGGGAAACATGCGGTTCCTTATCATCTTAACACAAGCTATGAGGCCTCCATTTGTATTTTTCAACCAAAGATGGTTGTTCTCCATATATACTTTGTATCCCTTTCCGAGTAATTGACCGATGCTAAGAATGTTACTTTTCATGTTAGGAATATAGTAAACATCGGAAATATACTCGGGCTTATCATCCTTTTGGTATATTTTAATCTTCCCTTTGCCTTCAACCGGGAGTTTTGAAGAATCTCCGAGGCTCACACTTCCATGAACTCCTTCTGCGAGTTCCATGAAAAGTTCTTTCTTCCCGCACATGTGGTTGCTAGCACCCGAGTCAAGGTACCAAGCATTATTCTCAACACTTGAATCATCATTAGCAAGAAGAAGCGTAGAGTTGTTACCCACATCATTTGTTGCTTCGGCGAGATTGGTTTGGTCTTTAGTTTTGTGCCAACAATTTGAAGCATAGTGCCCAAACTTGTGACAGTTATAGCACTGAACATTCTTGTTGCTTCCACGCCCAGGTGTGGATCTTCCACGATTGCTTCGTCCTCGTCCTCTAAAGCTTTGGGCCTCCACTTGATTTTGAGTGGTTTGCTGTTGGGCACCACGTCCTCTGCCTCTACCACGACCACGACCTCTTCCTTGTGAGCCTTGATTACTTAGAGTCAATGTTGACTCTAGTACTTGCTCCAAAACTATGGAACTAGCCTTCTTTTGCATTCGTTGTTCATGAACTTGGAGAGATCCCAAGAGCTCCTCTATTGAGATATCCTCCAAATTCTTTGACTCCTCAATTGCCGCCACCACGTGCTCAAATTTTGGTGTGAGGGATCGGAGCAACTTCTCCATCACTCGGATGTCCTCCATCTTCTCTCCATTTCTCCTTATTTTATTCACAATTAGAAGTAATCGTGAATAATAATCGGAGATTTGTTCTTCATCTTTCATTTGAGCAGCTTCAAGATCGCCCCTCAAAGTTTGGAGGCGAATTCGCTTCACCCGCTCGACACCTTTGTAGATGGTCGCAAGGATTTCCCATGCTTCCTTGCTTGTCGTTGCTTCGGCAACTCTCTCAAAGGTAGACTCGTCCAACCCTTGATAGAGTAGAAAACGAGCATTGCTATCCTTCTTTCTTTGTTCTCTGAGAGCCTTCTTCTCTTCGGCGGTATAGGTGGCTTCTACTTCTGGTGTAGGTTCCGTGAACCCATCAATGATCAGCTCCCACAACTCTTGAGAACCAAATAAGGCTCTCATTTGGATTGACCAACTCTCATAGTTATCTTTCAATAATTTGGGCACTTGAGGATTGACAAGATTATTTGTGGTAGCCATGAGAAGAAGAGTGAATAGGAAAATTAGATAAAGTGGCTCTGATACCAGCCACTGATGACTCTTAAGTTTACGAACTTAGAACTCTTTCAAATGAAGAACTCACTTATATTCTTCAATTTTCTCTCTTCATATCAAACAAGGATTACAATAGCCCTTTATATAGGCTTCAAAAACAAAAACGTCTAGGCATACCAATAGTCACAAATTAAACTCCTATTTTAATGCCATAAAGATAAATGTCATAAATGAGTAAGTTACTCTTATTCTTCCATAACCTATGTCTCTTCACCTTCTAAACTTATGACCCTTGCACTTCTAAAACTCATTTATTCTAGCATTTTAATTTGATATTCCAACAAATTTGACTAATTTTTTGATATTGGAGATGCTTGTTTATAGTCATCTTGGGAGGATGCGTAGATATCAGTATAGACTTGCGCATGCAAATGAGAGGTGGACACTATGTTGTTTTGATTTTATTTTCATTATCCTCCCATTAATGAAGAATCTATAAATAGTTGCAGATGGACGCAATTTCTGTCGGCATGAATGATTGCGAAAAGAACAACAGCGGTGTCTGGTTTACGCTAGTTGAAATTTTCAGATAAATCATGCACCACAAAAAAGATACTCATTACCAAAGTTTAAAATCACACCTAACTACATTTTAAAAACGTTGTTATAACAATTTCCAATGTTTGATACAAGTGTTGAAAGGGTAAGTGTAGTTAGCAATTGCCAACATTTTTTTCACAAACGTTGGCAATTGAAAATGTTGGCAATTGCCGACGTTTGCAAAAGAACGTTGGCAGTTACCAACGTTTGCAAAATGTTGGTAATTGATGCAAACGTTTGATTATTCTTTTTGCGCTACCTCGCTTTAATGTGTATTTAGATAAATGATGTATGTTCACTGCAGGAAGCATATATTTGACAGATACAGCTGATATGTTTCTGAGGTATGAATGATACTAATTAACTCATACGATATATGTTCGCAATGATAATATCTATGCAATCTTGTTACATCCTATACCATTTAGTTGTAGACCATTAAGAATAACTATGTTCGTGTTTCCTGAAATTGTTGCTTTCATCCACTTCGAGGATCCCCTTCCTTCTTAATCCTCCCCTTCACCCGTGATCCGTTAACTTCTTGGTTAAAAAAATTTATTGTGTTATGCTGTATGGAATTTTAGCAAGATAATTGAGGCTTCATATTGACATGATCCTGTGGCATAGAAGAAATCTGTAGGACTGTCACCTGTACTGTTCTGTTTTATATTTAAAAAAATCTGATGTAGAACAACACAATAATTATTGGTGGTGCTGCTGATGGTTTCCATAGGTTTCTTAAAGTTGATAGATTATGACATTTGCTGAACAAAGGTGCAAAATGCACTTGATCTTTCATTTCAGAGCGCTTATGCAATAAGATCTTTTCGAATTTTTTGAGCCAATTGGGCTAATGTGTCCAACTTAGGGTATAAATTGATTCACAAATAAATCGTTATATAGTTACTCAAAAATAAATCATTAATATAGTTGTTGACGGTTTTTGGTCAACAAACTTATTTTCCGCTTTTTTTTTTCTTTTTTTTTTCTTTTCTAGAAATTGGCGCAACATATAACCTTACCCTTTACCTATAAGAACTTTTATCCATAGGGAAAGGGATACACGGCTGCAATTATGTCTTGATTGGCTTGAGATTTGAATCAATTTTCTGCTAGTCAAAATTTAAACTTATTGGAGCCAAGTTGTTGCAGGTATTCAAGCTTAAGCTTAGAAGGGACCAACCTCTTTACTTCTATATGGAAGAAAGCCAGTGCCACTCGCAGAATAAGCAAGTGATGACTAATTATTTTTTGGTGCTGTGAGAATATTTTCTTTTTGTTTTTCTTTTCCTTTTTCAGGTGGAAAGAACCGATAGCTGTAAGATATTTCTGAATACAGGTTACTAGAGTTACAACTAGCAAACTATCTAACAAATTAATAGCAGAATTTCATGAAGCAGCAGCTACCGAATGGAGGGCTGGCATGGTGACAAGAAAGGTGGAGCCTGATTCATAGATTTCAATTTCATCATTTCATTTTTGCTTTGATTTTCCTTTTCCTCGTCATCGTCGTTGTCGTCATCCTCCTCCTCCTCAGCCTCCCAGAGAAACCGAGCATAAGAAGCCATTACATAGCTGCAAACATTTTGCAATTTATCAATATTCATCAATATTCTCCTATTCCATACGTGTCTAATATAATTAGGAGTAATTGCACATTGACGCCCGCAGCATTGCGTTTTATAACCTGTTACCATTATATATATAGTTTGATTGTAGCAGGTAGGCTCCTAAGGGAAACTTTTTTTCTCTCTTTTACCCTCAGGGATCCATTTACCCGTAACAATTTTCTCTTCTGGCAAAATCAAACTGCAGTCGTACGTAATAGATTTTGCACCTTCAAAATAATAATAATAATAATAATAATAATAATAATAATAATAATAATGAGATGATGTTGGTTGCATACCAATCATCGGGTGCAGCTTGAACAGCTCGATCAAAATACGTCTCTGCTCGCTCTGCGTCCCTACTCCTCTCCCATACAATCTCAGCATACATCGACAATGCGTTCCCATCTCCCTGATCAGCAACAATCGCCCTCCTGCAGTATTCTTCTGCTCTCGCAACATCGCCTCGAACCTGAAAATTGAGATAATTAATGGCTTGATATATAATCGGTCCAGGGAGAAAAACTTCCAAGAGAAAACACAACCGCGTGGCATGCATAAATAAATAAAGCTACTGATATACGTACACACCTCTTTCAAGAACTTCGCGTAATTGCTGAGAACAAGCGAGTTCTCAGGGTTGGCTTGTATCATGCTCCGATAATAACAAGCATCCGCGTCTCTGTCATCATCATTTGAATCCGATGAGAATTTACCGTGCCCACCGTTGCCACGGCTGTTGCAGTTTCCGTCTCCAATACACCCCTCATCATCGATGACAAGCATGCTGGCTTGCGAGCTTGTCGCAGCAACGGAATTTTCCTCCCCCGAGGATATCGAGATCGAAGGAGGAACCATTTGCCGAGGTTTCTGCTTCGGCTTGGGCAGAGGAGGCATTAGGATCTCAGAGATGCTGGTATCGGACGTAGCTCTCCTCAAACTCTTTCTGTTGTTGGTAGGAGGAGGAGAAGGAGATGATGATGATGATAAGGATTTGAGGGAGGGGATTCTGGGGATTTTTGTAGTTGAAATCTCAGTGGTGATGAGGACTTCATTATGCGAATCTTTTGCAGTTGTGGCTGCAGGAATCAATGACTTCAGGATTGGGGTGGATGCGCTCCTCAGTAGCATTTCTGTTTATTTATCTGGCTACTCTCTTATGTGCATCTTTTGAGTGGTACAAGTAGGAGAGAAGCTCTACTTATATAGGCAGAACAAAAGGTGGTGTAAACTGTAATAATGTGGATCAGAGTTGCCATTAAAGTTGAATATCTCCCGATCGATATCTCGTAACTTTGGACGATTATCGGTGATACGGGTGTATCTTCTTCTCCGTTTCGGGAGCTTAGCGATCCTCATGGGAGCTTGAGGATAGACGATTCTCATGGTATCTAGAGAATAGATGCGTGGATGAAACCATTGGTGGCGACGAAAGAAGCTAAAAGCAAGAAGACAACAAAATCAGGGAACTAGCGCTCAGACTTTGGCTGGTCAACCAGACCAAGCTGGTCGGTCGACCGGATTCGTGCACACTACAAGGTGAGGAATGGGTCCTTTGGCCGGTCGACAGTGACACACTGGTCGGTCGACCAGACGTGGTTCTTCCTGCAGGGTTTGAAACCAACCCTCTGGCCAGTCGACCGCGACATTTGTGTCGGTCGGCCGGATCGGGTTTTTTGGGTTTTCCTGGGCCGATTGGGACTCTGTTTTGAGACAAATTCTGATTGTATTTGGCTTGGTTATTTACAAGTTTGTCATCCATGTTATGTACTCTATAAATAGAGATTGTTTGGGGTTTCTAAATATCGGTGGTTGATCAGAGAAGATCAGTTTTTATCAGATTGAAGATTCTAATCAAGAGATTAGAGTTTTAGAGAGAATAGAGAATTTGTTCTTTGTTCTAGTGAGATTGTGAGAGAGAAATTTGTAATATTTTATTACTCATAATCTGGAGAATGTATTTTCTTTTGCCAACTGAGTTGTTCTTGTGTTTTCTATTGTCTTCTTCTCAACCCACCTTTGATAATTTCACGATCAAAGGTGTTCGCACGGCGACTCGTATCAAGTTGGTATCAGAAAAATCAGATTCTGTGAAGGGGGTATCTTATGTATGGTCCTCACTCAATCGTAGTACAAGAAGCTAGGCGAGATTCTTATTTCCTTGGAAGAAATCCAGAAATTAAGGAAGAAGAAGATAACAGAAAGTGACAACTCATCGAGACTTGATGCATTGGAGAAGCTGTAGGTTATCTAAAAATCACTGCAGATAGTCGATCCCCCATTAAACACCGATGGTGGAAGTTACAATCTGACGACTTCCAAAAGAATATAATTTAAAGATTTTCACGTAGATGGATGAATGTTATAATCTGACGACCTTTACAACAACCGATAAAACCTCTAGTTCAACAGTCTTCACAATCAATATCGGGAGTTACAATCTAACGACTCTCATATTTTCAAGGAGCCAAGATGAAGATTACAAGATGATGGTCTTTGAAATGATCCAGCAAAAGAGATCATAAATTGACGGTCTCTTCACATCAAAACGCAGAGGTCATCCCTGCGTTTCACCATCAAAACGCAGAGGTTATCCCTGTGTTACAACATCAAAACGCAGAGGCCATCTCTATGTTACAACCTCAAAACGCAGATGTCATGCCCACGTTTTAGAGGCGAAACGTAAAGTTCATCCCCAGTGCTCTAGTTAAAAACGCAGAGTTCGCGGACTCAAAACGCAGAGTTCAAAACGCAGAGTTCATCTCTGCGTCCTAACTCTGCGTTTCAGATTTACAACGCAGCGCGATCTGTGCGTTCAGCCACCTAAATAGGCCCAACTCTGCGTTTTAAGTCTAAAACGCAGAGTTCGGGCCCTGAACGCTATTTTTCAACGTTTGACTCGTTCAAAGCACGAACTGAACGGTTTCAAAACTGTTTTTCCCACGATTTAGGGAGCAGTTTAAAGGGGCGGTTACACCCCATTCAGTCCCACTTAGGAGAGAATTAATGAGATGTTATACCCATTGATCCCCTATAAATAGGATTAAACTCAACTGAGTTCGGATCTTTGGATCTTGCAGTATCTTAGAGATCTAGAGATCGGCTTCTTCGGATCATCTCCTCGGCAGCAGATCATTTTTGAGATTTCGTCAATAACAAAGTTCTTGGAGCATTCCCTTGGCTTATTAACCAATTTTTCGGTTCAAATCAACTCTTTTTCAAGAGTTTAAATTTGCTCTGAGTTATCAACTCATTCAGAGTTTCAAACTTGCTTTGCAAGTTCTCCACAGCGTCAAATCGTGAGGAGAAGATATCGTTCCAGTGAATCAAGACATTCGGATCATCAACGGAGAGCAAACTCGACACGAGCATTCGAGGGAGGCACTCCATCGCCACCGTGAAGAACCCAGACTTAAACAAAGGGGAGAATTCAGATCAATTCTCTTCTCTTTTGTATTCGGAAATTCAAATTATAATCGAGATTGAGAGAATAAAAATCAAATAGAATTCTTTTATTTTCTTATTGCAAATTTTCTACCAAACAAAAGATGGGGACTCTGCTGGGGATAAGCTTCTCTGACGAAGAAGTGGTGGCGCAATCCGATGTTCATCTCACTAGAATGACCATTAAAACTCTGATTATCGAGTTCAATCAAGCCAAGTATGAGAGTTACTCTCCTTCAGATTTCTTAACCCCAAGGCTATGTGCAAGATCCGCAAAGTCTTCAAGGAGACTAAAGCTCCAATTGTTGCTTCTATGCCAAAGGAAGCCCTCTCCTTTAGCCAAAATTGCTCGAACAGCCCCTCCTCCGAAGGAGTGAGCTCAACTTGTGCCAAACGTAGCCCTCGGTGGCACATTGCACAATTAAAATGCAGCCTTCAGGGTCGCGTTCCACAAACTAAACGCAACTCTCAGGTTAAAACTCTGATTATCGAGTTCAATCAAGCCAAGTATGAGAGTTACTCTCCTTCAGATTTCTTAACCCCAAGGCTATGTGCAAGATCCGCAAAGTCTTCAAGGAGACTAAAGCTCCAATTGTTGCTTCTATGCCAAAGGAAGCCCTCTCCTTTAGCCAAAATTGCTCGAACAGCCCCTCCTCCGAAGGAGTGAGCTCAACTTGTGCCAAACGTAGCCCTCGGTGGCACATTGCACAATTAAAATGCAGCCTTCAGGGTCGCGTTCCACAAACTAAACGCAACTCTCAGGAGTGCGTTTCAGAACCAAAACGCAACTCTCAGGAGTGCGTTCCAAAATCAAAACATAGATTTCAAGATTGCGTTTCATCAGCAAAACGCAGACCTCAGGATTGTGTTTTACCAGCAACACCTGGAGCTCAGGCATGCGTTCGGGTAGCGAGACTCCGAATACTCTGCGTAGCACGGCTAGATTAAGGAGTGGATATAAGAAGTTCATGGATTCAAGATATCTCAACCAGATTCATGTTCATCAGAAGCTAGTCCTATCCAATCATGGACTGGGGGTTCCAGTTCAAACCTCACGATCAGTGAGTAATTTTTCTCGAGTCTTTGCAATAGATTCGAGAGTGTTCATATCGAGAGAAAGACTGATGCAACAAGTCATTCGTTCATTCAATGTGAACGACTGATTCCTACGGTCCTCTCGGGATGACACTGCTGCTCATATACGGCCAAAACATTGGTGTTCGACTAATTAATGAACGTTTCCTTACCCAACCAATGGCGACGTTCGTACAAGAAGAAGTCTCTAGAGATCGAGTATCCTAGAGTCACTATCAATGTGATCAGCAGAGGGAAAGCCTCAGGTCCTAGTCCTGATGACTCTGAGACAAGTCGTTCACTGACCGTCGGAGAAATTACTAATGAGTTTGAAGGAGTCTACCGATACACTCGAACTCGAACAGGAGCCATTCCTCCTGTCAACTATCAGAGTTTAGCCAGAGGAACTAATTTCGAGGATGAACACTCAGCCATTGCGAAGTCTCAATCATCAAGTTCCTTCGTTGAACATAAGAGCTTCGCCCACATGGCAGAAAATTCTGAAGATCTCTCAAACAGGGTTGCTGAGCAGGATGCCATGCTCAAATCATAGCAGAAGACCCTCAATGAACTCCTGGCTCTGTTGACTCAAATCGTCACAGACAAGGCCAACTCTCAGAAGACAGATTCGTCACCTAGGCAAGAATCTTCCCGGAGAGGAAAATCGTCTTCATCCCAAGTTCACACAAGCAAAGAGAAGGAAAAAGTGGTTGATGACGCTGCTTCTGACCAAGAAGCCTACAACCTAGAATCTTCCTTTGATGAAGGATGAGAAATTGAGAACGAACAGAATCTCTAATCTGTTAAAATAGAAGAATTTGAAGCCCGTCTTAATACCATTGCTAACAGAAACGAGCTCCAAGACGAGGGAGTTACCAGATCCTATCCTGCCGAATGGGATGCAACCCCTTATCCTTCAAAATTTGAGGTCTCGACACTACAATCTTTTGATAACACGGGATCACCAAACCAATATATCTATCATTTCAAGTCACAGACTGGAAATATGATATCAAACAATGCCATACTGGCTCGATTGTTCATTGGCACCCTCAAGGGAGTTGCCTTTGAATGGTTTAGGAAACTGCCTGCGAGATGTATCCAAAAGTGGGTGAATCTAGAGAGACTCTTCCTATCAAGATTCTTTGAAGAGGATATAGAAGTCTCCATCCATACCCTTCTCACTACTAAGCAGAAGAAGATGGAGTCCTTCAAAGCCTTCGTCAAAAGATTTCAAAATATGGCATTGCGATGTCCAACAGGTATGACACAGTCTACACTGGTAGAGACATGTCGACACAACTTACAGATCGACCTTCTAGCACAAATGAGGGTTGCAGAATGCCATTCATGGAGACAACTAATCTCTCAAGGCGAACAGGCTCAAAATATTATTGTCAGAATCAAAGCTGAAGAACAAAGTAGGCAAGATCAACCTGAGTAATCAGACCAAGCCTAATCTTCTCAGTCAGAAGGGGAAGATACTACGGCCACTGAAGCCAATACTTTTCAGTAGGATGGTGGGTCCAATAATTATCACGTTAACAGTTACCTCTGATAGTCAAACTCGTTAGATAGTGACCCACTAGGCGATGTGCCATGTCTACCCTTTT